CGCGTCCATAGCTCGGTACGGCCCGAAGAAAGGTGGCGATGTGGGAGATACAAGGGGGTAACTGCCAGTGCGTTCGAGCCGTGCTGCCGATATGGCAGCCGCAAACTCCTCGCCGCTTTGACAGTGTGGCTGACACGAGGCGCATGGGTAGTCGCGTCTATAGCTCGGTAGCGCACGCAGAGAGGTGGAAAAGTGGGGATATACGGGGGAACGTACTCAGTCCGTGCTCGCCGCCGCGCGAATAGGGGTCGCCGCTCCATCCAGCCTCCCTCGGCCTGCATCCAGCCCATAGCATTCTTTCTTCTCACTTCTATTCCAGCGTGGTCGTGGGTCGCCTTCTTTGGAGTTCGGACTAAATTGAGACCGAGCGCGAATGCAGGGTAGCGAGTGCTTGAGACGAACGCATACAAAACATGAACATTATAGGCGGAGCGGACACCCGTCTACGGTTCTCAAGATGAGCGTTCGTGGTGGCGCGGCGCTGGCGCGGTGGCGCGCTTGGCAAGGCGGCCGGAGCGCTGAGATGAACACGAGTCGGCGCGCTCGGCGAGGTCGAAATTGATGGCGCCGTAGGTGGCGCGCCGCGCGAAGTCAAGACCCACAACACAGTGTGGGCGATGCGCGCCGGAGCAGCGCGCCAGAGCGTTCGCGCTGGCGCTCGTTTCCAAAGATCCCGGGTTTCTTTGATAACGGCATGCATGGCGCGACGGCGGGTGCCGGCGTCTTTCTCGGACGGGGAGACGGCAGGAACCTCGCGGTTCGGGTACCCGGGGAACAGACCAAAAATCGTGGCGAAGCGTTTGTCATACTGTGTGCACTGTCACTGTGTGATTCGAGACGCTCACTTGTGATATACTCGGACTCTCAGTGGGTAATTGCTTCCTTAACTCACTGAGCTCCAATGCAGGAGGCAGTTGGTTGGTCCAACTCGAATGGGGACATACTCCACGAATGCGCGCGGTAGATGCGGGCGCGTACCGCACCAACAAGATTTGTTCACGTCGCCGCTCACAAGGGCAACGCCGTCAATGAGGCTGCGGACGGCTTAGCAAGCAAGGGTGCGCGTAAGGCAGCTCTACCACCCTTCGTGCCACAGCCAGCGCCTGAACCCATGGACCCTGTCGATGCGCGTCCTCTACAGGGAGCGAGGGTGTGGACAACAATGGCAGAACCAGGCAAAGCTATTGGAGAGCGTCCCGGGTGGCGCCACGGCGGCCACGCATCCGGGAAGTGGCACCACGGTCGAGCGAGACGCGATGATACGCGCTTGAGAAAGCTGGCGGAGATCCTGAAAGTCTGTCACTTCAACAAGGTGTTCTGGGATGCCTGGAAAGGAAGCATGGACGCGCGGAAGAAGCGGCCGCAAATACCCATCGACGAACTGGCTCGCGTCTTTCAAACGCGCATGAATCGGCACGCGCAAGTACCTGACACCTTTCTTCAATCGGCGCGGGTACAAGCCCAGCTCCTCGCGACGAACCTCGACGCTGCCCAGCCAGCACGTCCATCTGACGACGACTTTACGCGGCCATGAACGGACCACGATGTATCCGAGTTAAAGAGGGACATCAAGAACAACGTACGCTCCGGTCCCCCCGTTTTAGACGGTATTGCTAAATCCCTCATCATGAACATTGACAACGACCGCCTGGCTGCCCTCTTCAATGAATGCGTCGCTCAGCACGGTGCGCCGTCGGTCTGGCTGCGAACCGCAATTGCCGGGACCATGAAGAAGAGCCTCTCCGCGAGTGACGCCGCCAGCTACAGAACGATCGGGCTTGAGAGCGTCATCCTGAAGATGCTGACGCTGCCGATCCACAAGCGCTTGTACAACTGGGCTGAACGGCACAACGTCTTCCCCGCAGCGCAGAACGGCTTCCGCCATTAGTACCGCACCAATAAGAACGTCTTTATTCTTCGTAGCTTTCGTAGATATCAGCAACGCGTTTCCGTCCGCAGACCGCAACATTCCGTGGGTAGCGCTGCAGCGGTCTGGACGTGTGGGGCCGGTGATAGACTGGGTGCGCATGCTCTATCAGGAGATGCGCTACGCTGTGCGCCTACAAGACGAGATCGCCGACGACTTCACTGCGGATCTCGGCGTACTCATCGGTGATCCGTCCTCGCCCAGGCTGTGGAATCTGTTCATCTCGGACTTCGCGCCGCCGCCGCATCCGACGACGCCGTGCTCGCGGGGTCTACAGTGTCCCACCTTGAGCATGCAGACGATATGATCATTATCTCGCACAGCGCGGAGGGACTCCAAGCGCACCTCAATTATCTCCAGCGGTGCGCGGCCCGCAAGCAGCTCGTCATACACCCAAAGAAGACCAAGGTCATGATCTTCAATGAAATTCCAGACGACCCGTCGCTACTGTGGCTAGAGGGCAAACATCTGATATACGTGTACGAGTTAATCTACGTAGGAATACGACTCTGCTCAACGAAGCGAAACGTCCTCGCGCTGCACTACGTCACCACGGCTACGCGCGCGCGTACCGCAGCCAAGGGAATCCTCAGTTCCAAGACGGTCGTCGGCGTAGTTCTCCCGGAAGTGTTCCGCGTACTCTACTTCGCTCGAGTGGACTGTCATACCACGAGCGCCGCCGATGTCTTCCCGGACGTCGACAACGGGGTAGACCTGCTGAATTCCGTCCAACACAATTACCGCAGGCGCGCAATGCAGCTCAGCTCGCACTCCGCGGCCATCCCCCTCTATACGGACATGAATGTTGCGCCGATGAGGTACTGAAGGGTTAACTTCGCGATCCAGTACCAGGGGTACCTACTGTCCCTGCCGGCGGATCGTCTGGCTCGCAAAGCTCTGGAATAGTTCCTCGCAATGTACTATGCGGGCCACATCTCACCTCTTCCAGTACCTCTACAAGTACATCCATAAAGGTATTATACCCGCCCCGCTCATGTCCGGCAAACTCATGACACCTATCTAGGTCCCGACTACGCGAAGGCCGAAGTACTGGCACCCGGCGAACCTCGTCCGCCTGTGAATGAGATAGACGACTACTTCAACTCGCGCTACCTCACAGCTTTGGTGGCAACCTGGCGCATACTGGGCTACCACATTACCCACAAGGAGCCTGCCGTGACTGGTCTGCCCGTGCATCTTCCATCCGACACGTCCCGTCGTGCGTACGCCACACGACGTGGAGTACCCGCCCGCTCTTCGTCCACACTAGACCATTACTTCGTTCGCCCGCGGGGCACGTTTGTCTATCGTGGTGCCGTCAGAAACTTTGCCGACTTGACCTATGCCGAGTACTGGTCAATCTTCTACACGACAAAGTTCAAGGACGACAATGTGGCAAAGCCGCGCTTCTTTTCTGAGTATGGGACTATTGCTGGCCGACCACTCATGCATGTCGTTCAACGCAAAGACGAAGCCGTGCACGTAACACGCCTGCATGCCGCCCGAGTCTCCGAGGGTGAACGATTCTACCTGCGACGAATGTTACAGCTATTCCCGGCCTTTTCCTTCGACGAGCTCCGCATTGTCAATCGCGTGTCATGCACTACCTATCAGGAAGCAGGGCGTGCGACTGGCATGTTTGAGGACGAACACGAAGCCAAGTATGCGATGGCCGAGGCCGTAGCTGCGCTGAAAACACCAGCTCAGCTTCGCTTCCTCTTCCTCGACCTCCTCGTCAACGACTGTATGCCTTCTCCGATTGCAATATGGAATCGTTTCAGTGCACAGCTTTCGCGTGACCACGTTATCTGGCAGCAGAACGACATTTTAGGCATTAACGCGGCCCTTCAAGACCTCGCACGCGAGTTAATTCTTCACGGGAAAACACCGGAAGACTACGGTCTTCCCTCTGTTGAGCACCACGGTTCTGCTGTATAGGAAGAGATTCGAACATGGAGTGGGCTGTGCGCTCCCCTGCTCGACAGCGCGACCCGCCGGTACCGGACCTTCAATGGCGAACAGCGTGCTATCTTCGACGAAGTGGCTGCTGCGTTTCATAACGACACACCCCTGTGTATCTTCATTGACGGCAAGGCCGGTCGCGGCAAGACCTTCTTGCTCGAGGCCATTATTGAGTACGTGCGCAGCCACAACCAAATCGCCATTGCGACTGCATCGACTGCTCATGCTGCTCTCCTCTACCCTGGTGGACAGACAATGCACTCTATGTTCAAGGTGTGCTCGGTTCATATGCTCCGTGTTATCTTTCTCATATCATCCGGCAGATCCCCGTCGTCCAGAACAACGAGTTCGTCGAGAGTGACATCACCGGCGCGGACCATCCACAAGGGGAACTTATACAGGCCTCGCGGGTCGTCGTGGTTGACGAGGTACCAACGGCAAACCGCGCTCCGCTGTCCTGTACAGAAGCAGTCCGTCGCATCGTCATAGACAGGCCGAACGTCCCTTTCGGCGGAAAGATCGTGCTATGGAGCGGCGACTTTAGACAAACTTGCCCAGTCGTTCCGAGTGGTTCACGCCGCGATATCGTCGAGGCTTCCATCCGCTCTTCACCACTGTGGAACTTATTCTCCGTGCGAAGGCTCACGCATCCATTCCGGAACGCCGAAGATCCCTAGTTCGCAGCTTACGTGGACGCTCTTGGTGATGGTGCAGGGCCCGATGTACCAATCCTGATGCTACCCATTGCACATACTGAGGACGACCTCATCAACTTCACGTTTCCCTCCGACATCATCAGAGACCCAGTCGCGTGCCACCGCAGAGCGATCCTGGCACCTACGAATAAGCAAGTGAGCAAATACAATGCTGCCGTTCTTAGGCGTGTACCCGGAGATGCGCGAACGTACCTGTCGACAGACTCCATCAAGGAGATTGAAGACGTCGAACTTCTTGATATTGACCCGGAAGACCTCCTTGCCGCAAACCGCGAGCGCTTCATCCACGGAATGGCACCCCATAGGTTGAATGTGAAACCGGGCTGCAGTTGTCGGCTGCTGCGTAACATGTCCATATCACGGGCACTCGTGCGCAATGTCCGCGTCGTAATCGTCGACGTCGGGGATCGTATTCTGACGGTTCGACGGATCCGCGAACTTCCGGATGGCCGCGGCATCATCGACGGCGAAGACGTACTTCTTCCTCGCATACCGTTCCTGCATGTCCTTCCTTCCGGCCACACTCTCATCCGCAAACAATTCCCGATTGATCTTGCGTACAGCACAACTTTTAACAGCTGTCAGGGTTTGACTCTCGACCGTGTCGCCGTTGATCTCACCACACCTGTCTTCTCCCACGGACAGTTGTACACGGCGCTATCACGCATTTGCCGTCGCGAGCACGGTATTGTCCGGATGAATGAGGGGGACATAATGACTAAAAATCTCACGTTTTCTGAAATCCTGTTGTAGTTTACACACTATGCAAATTGACCATCGACCGACGAACTTCCCCGCGGCGCAGCTGCGACAAACCTTGTATGTCAGACCGAAAGAGCCTGACCAAGAAAGGCGCTACGGATGCGCTGAACAAGGTCGTACATCGGTCGCTGCTGGACTACCGCAAGTCACAGATCAACGTGTCCTCGCGCCTCTACCTGCTGCGGAATATGCTGGCACCGCAGGAAGACGCGCCACCGGGCGTGGTCCCAATGATGCTGCGAAATTACCTCAAAGTGCTCAACCACAAGGCACGAAAGGCTCTCGCGCAGCTGGTTGCTAGCGACTACCCGCTCGCCTTGGAGCGCCTGCGCCACGGAGACGCCAGTTTCCGCAACGACGTCAAGAGGCACGCAGATACCCAAAATCTTCGCCGGTGCCGTTTCTGCGAAGAATCCGTCGAGTCGCCAGAGCACGCCCTGCTCATCTGCGCGAGATCCGACGCTCTTCTCACCGCACGCGTCGCGTTCCTCGTCCTCGTCACGGGGATTTGACCGACGTTTGTGCCAGCGATGGACGACGAGGAGGCGCTGCAGGCCTTACGCGAGCTTCTGGGTCGGGAGGCAGTACTGGGTGTGTGAGGCTCGTTTGTCCACAACGTCTTCCGCATCTACGACGCGCAGGTGTTGGTCTGGCCGCCCGCGTTCATTGAGTGGCGAGAGGTCCCCGCACTTCCTGTATCCTAATTGACAAGTGAATGAGTGCGATCCGTCTGTACACACGCTAGGTCTGGACCGTATGAGCGAAAGCAAGAATGTGTATTCGGTCCTAGCGTGTCGCCGGGTGGTCGGGCAGCACGGGGATATCGCGTGCGATAAGCATCCCGAGACCCAGCCGGTCCTGTTACGGGACATCACGGTGGTCAACTACTACTACTACTACTACTACTTTACTCATTGGTTCCGGCACTCGTGTCTCAATCTTGCACGATGCCAAACAGGGTTACGCATTAAGCCGCACGGCTTACTGTGTGCACACAGTGCAAGTAACGCAAGGGAGGTTGAAGTACTCGTGAGCAATTTCAAGGCATGCGGTGAGGCATGGAAGGGATGCTCCATACAAGTCAGATTGATAACGATGTCTTGCGCGTCCTTGAGTCTCTGTTGGGTTTCCGACGGTCAGCTTCGACTCAATGCCCTTTTGAGGGCGTCTATTGCACCAGCTACTCTACGTAGTGTACAATATGGTCGTGTTCTCTCTGTATCGTGTCCGAAACGAGTCCTTCGAGCTCTGTCCTTATATACCTCTAGCCTACAAATCCGCAGTATTCTAGCACAGTCATCCTATTTACAGCCTTTTAATATATAGGTTCTACAGTATCGAGTCCATCGAACCGTTGGTTCGCGATAGGGAAGCTCGACGCCGCGCTCCAGGCGCGACTCGGGCACGGGAACGATCCCCGAGGCAAGCCCGACGCGAAGCGCAGCTACGCAGCGCTGCGCCGTTCGTCGCGTTCATCCTCCGCCTATCATCATCCGCGTTGAGTCGGCGAGCCTCGCCCGCCTCTTTGCCAGCTGACACACAGGATCTTACAAAATCCCTACAGTCTCCTGTAGCCACCGACAGATCCGCGTCGGTTTCAGCGGCCAAAAAACCTATTACCTTATTGTCTGGAATATCGATAGAGGAGTCTCAACACAAAATCACGAAATTGAAGTCGCTCGCAAAGCAGGGGCGTCCGGTGCGAATACTGCCAGTGAGCTGGCAGATGACTGTTGTGTTTCTTGCCGCGCATGCATTGCACATCAAGTCTGACGCATACCGATGCGTCTTACGCACACAGTCAAACTCAATAGATCTCGAATTGCTCTCTACATCGCCAAAACGCTCGGAATATACTTCAAGTAGCACATAGGGTCAGAAGGGGTTCATTTTAGCAATCTTTGATAGCTCATTTAGGTGCTTGTACGCAGACTGGAAATACCTTCAGCAATCTGGACTGCTTTCTGCCGAGCTGTCAGAGGCGTTAAATTGGGACATTAATCTGAGTGAGGCTTGCGACATCGATACCTGAAACACATGACACATGTCGAGGACAAACAAGAGAGTGCTTGGCTGCGAATCACATTTTGCCTTAAGCTAGCAACCAATTTCCTGAGGTGGTAAGCTGAGCCTCATCGCAGCTGGGTGAAAGCAGGAAAGATAAGAAACACTCATGTGCTTGTCAGTGTGTAGGCATCCTACATGTATGTATTTTGACCAGCCATAAACCTCGTGATCTGATGTATCTGCGTGGTCTGCCTTTCAAACTTTAAAGCTGCAGCATTTTTGGCTATGCATGAATATATCATTATAACAAATCACTACCCGCTGCTTGAATCCCGTCTTCCGAGCACATATGATCTCATTTAAAGCGCACATCGTGGGCAATAATTGGGACAGAGCGCGTGAGCTCGCAGCGCTTCGGAGTTGCGAGATCTCTGCTTCTCCACTCGGTTTTGACTGATCTGGTACACGGAACAGCTTCCCAAGAGGGAACTTTAAACGTCACAGTTGTGCTCGTCCGGTTGATTCAGCGCTTTCGAGGTGTTTCTAATAAGACGTCCGACGATTGAGCATTTTACACCGAGGATTGGAGTCACGCTTACACCAGCGAATTTTCCAGTATGAGCAGTGTACAGAGTAATGTTGCGGCGTTTAGAGCGACCTGGCAGACGAACACGATGTGAAGAGCGTCGGAATAAGAAGAAAGTGCAGCGAGCCGGTCTTCAACACTGAGGCTTGGCATGATATCGGTGGAACGGCTGTTATCGCGCTTCGTCATGAGATGCGTGATGACAAAACGGGCATGCTATTGATATAGGACGTACAGTATGCTTTCAATAATGCTATGACAGTTAGGACCGCGAATGCGCTCACTCAACCTTGCGCTCAAAAAGTGCTGAAAGACGGCGGCGCTAAGACTGACTCCGAGAGCCTGGCCGGTGGTGCGGAAGAGATATGTTGCTTGAAACGTATTTGAGCAAGTACGGGTCAGCTCACGGCTACTCGCTTACCACCGGTCGCAATTGCAACGTCCTCCTTTACTACGGAAGAAATGATCGCCTGTGAAATTGATAGTCAGTGATGCTGATGTTTGGCCAGTCGAATTATACTCACGACAAGCGTTGAGGTGAGCAGGCTAGCCATTCCCAGTCCTTGCGGAACAGTATCGAGCCATAGATGCCAAGTTGGCGTTCTCTGCTCCCATCGGGTCAAGAGCAGCGTCGCAAAAGTTGCCAACAGCGCGCTGGCCACCGTCAGCCAGTAATATTTTCCTGTCTGACGCATTATGTATCCAGAGCAAATGCTTCCAGCCGCTATGGCAATTGAATGTGGCAGAAGATGGAACCCCGCAGTGGTCGAGTCCGACATGCGCACAGCAGTCATAAACATAGGCACGTTGTAGATCACGCTGAAGGCAGCCATGCTTCCAAATAGATTGGAAAGACAGACTGCTAGCGATGTACGTTCCATGAGCAGGCGCATTGGAAGCACCGGAGAAGTGGCGACCTTTGTCTCGACCGTGATGAAGATTACAATTAGCGAAAGGCCTATGGCAAGTAGTGGCAAGCTTTGCATCGGCCCTGATGACATGGTTCCGGTGCTTGTGTTTTGTGGAACTGCGAGGAGTAATGTCCCGATGGAACCTGCGAGGGTGAGCGAGCCCAGGACATCCATATGACTCAGCCTCTCATACAGAGTCTGAGTGTGTGACTCAATGGTAGGCGAAATGTCTCCCGTGCATACGATGAGTGTGGAAGAAAGCACCAAGAGCGGGACTTGGAGGAGAAACGCTGAACGCCTAAATTAAAAGGGAAGCAGTAAGCGAGCAGCCTGTGGCTGGGAAGGACGCATAATGTCCCACCATCCCAATACGTCGTTCAACCAACCACCCAATGGGCCTCCGACGCCTGCTCCAAGTCCAAAAACGCTGTGTGGTGGGTCAGAGCCAGTGCACACCTCAAGGCCCTGCAGACTTCTCACTCACATGTTGGTCAACCCTTGATATAGTCCGCGTCGCTCCCTGCAGCTGTCATAAGCGCTCTTTCTACTTTCCCTCCCCCTTCTGCAAGTACGCAGGGTCATATACTCCATAGCAGAGACACGACGTACAAGGGGATAAGGTCTGTCATGGAGATGCTGGTTACTAGCATGAGGAGCCCTTCTCAGTGAGATGCATAACGGATCCGCCTGTGAGAGCGCACCAGTGAAGACGCTGTTGCGAGGGAAGGGGTTCACAGTCAATAATTCTTTCTTGACAGAGAACGCGCGCGAGGCTCACTGACCCTCCGCCACCCATGCCAGCAATTGCTCGCGCCGCGATCATCATGTTGAAAGATATTGAGAGGCCGCAAAGTAAAGTACCGAGGCCTTGATACGGGTCAGCGCAGTGTATAAACTTCAGTCTGCGAGGCGCTTACCAAAGCAGAGGAGGGCAATCATCATTGCTCGGCGTCTGCCCAAGACATCTGAGAGCTTGCCTGGGTTCGATTAACTGAGGGATGATCGAAGCTTCAAAAAAGATCTCATACGTACCATAGAGAGGAGTAAAGGAGCAGACCGCCAATAGATACGACGTCCCCACTCGGAAGGACTTATCCGAACTCGCAAAGTGGTTGCCAATAGGAGTCGTGAGCGTTGCCACAATTGTACCTGCGATCCAAGTTAGTTTGAGCTCTTGGCCCTGAAGGATAAACGCATTGGAAATACCATCCACCGAAACTAAAAGTACTGCACTCCAGAGTCCAACTAGGATTCGCGCCTTAGATGTCTTTCTTGACGGCTCCGTTCGGAAGGCTGGTTCATCGGGTGCGCAAACGTCGGAAGACAATGGCTCAGAAGAGACTACGCCGTTTGACCCTACATGAGTAGAGTGCTGCGTGTCTTGAGAAAGGAGAGGCTGGCGCTCGGAAGGCATGCGTGTTGAGGTGTCCGGTACAACGACGACTCGTGATGGGAGTGGGAAGTGGGCGCTTGATATAGCCACGTGTCGCATACACCACCCAAAGAGACCAAGCACCTTTCCATTTCAAATTTACTGTTGTACCGCAAGATTGGCTGGAAATTGTCCGCTCAGCACGGACTCGACACGACACGTCTTCCGGACGCGTGTTTGTTCTATGCCGCAAGATGCCTCGTCAATTATTGTCACACCATACGGGTGCGTGTGTTTTGGTCCAAGGCGGGTTGTGAGTGGACTCGTTATAGCTCAGAACATAGGTAACAGTTGACAGAGGTCTCGCCAAAAGAAAAGCAAGGAGATAGGGAAATGACGGCGCAAGCGAATGCAAAGACGAGGTGACGACTGAGCGGTGAGAGTCTGAGCTTCCAAAGAGGAGTTAGTGCATTCTGATAAGAACGTAAAAGGGCTATGCCGAACAAAAAACTGTGTCAGTTGCGTGGCCGAGGCGATACATCATCTTCCCCTTGGAAAAGTCATAGGACAGGGAGTGAACTCTGATTGTTGCCGCATCGAATTGAGGCGCTATCGACGGAGGACAAAACATCTTGC